AAATCACCTCTATTTCTATACTATGTTTTCCATTCTATCAAATAAGACCAAAAAAACGAGAATACAACCATAAGTACTATACGAAAATAGACCACAAATTCGACATTTTAATTAAAAAAAACGGTCAGTTTTTTTTTTTTCTCATTATGCACTTCGTGCTTCAAGATTTTTTTTATATGGTACACACTGACCACACAGACCCATTCTCTCACATGTGTGCCTATCAGCTTTCTCCTGCTTGATTTGAAGCCACTAGAATTTATGAGTATATATACGTCACCCTGCCTCGGTGGGAGACGCCCGACTTGTTGAAAAAAAAAAAAATATACGTCAAACACGGTACCTCATAAGACGTATATATAATACCGAAAAAGTCAAAAGGTTAAACCCAAAATGGCAAGGATTAAGTATGTTGTGAATGATTAAGTAGGAGTAAACTCACTTATGAATTATTTTTTCAAAGGTTTTTGATAGTAAGGGCAAGTTTGATATAATCCCATAGTTATTCACCTCAGTTATTCACTCCAGTATGTACTCTCAGCCACCACACTTTACAATTGTGTAAATTTGTTTTTGTAAGGCATCCTGTATTGTGTTTATATGATATGTAGAATGTTTCTTTTTTTTTTTTATTATTATTATTAACACATTGACTGTTTCCCACCAAAACAGGGTGACCCAAAAAAGAGGAAATACTTTCATCATCATACACTCCATCACTGTCTTGCCAGAGGGTTGCCTACACTACAGTTAAACTACAACATATCAACACCCCTCCTTCAGAGTGCAGGCATTGTATTTCTCACCTCCAGGACTCAAGTCTGACTAACCTGTTTCCCTGAATCCTTTCATAAATGTTACTTTGCTTACATTCCAATAGCACATCATCATAAAACGCATTTGTCTCTACTGACTACTATCTGATATGCTCACACACAAAACCTCCTTTACCTCTTCCAACCTTTCTTAAGATGACCCCAACCCTACCTTCCTTATACTACAGATTTATATGCCCTCCAAGTAATTCTATTTTGTTCCATCCTTTCTAGATGTCCGACCCACCTCAACAACTCCTCAGCCCTCTGGATAATACTTTTAGTGACCCCACACCTCCTAATCTCCTAACATGGATTCTATGCATTATATTCACACTGCACAGTTTCCTCAAAGACGACATCGGCAATACCTCCACCCTTGTTGTTGCAACACTCACCACTCATGCTTCACACCCATATAAGAGTGTTGGTATAACTTTACTCTCATACATTCCCCTCTTTGCTTCCATGGATAATGTTCCTTGTCCCCACAGACTCCTCAGTGCACCACTTCAGTTTTTTTTTAACACATCGGTCGTTTCCCACCGAGGCAAGGCGACCCAAAAGAAAGAAAAACCCAAAAAGAAAGAAAAAAACTTTCATTTTCATTCAACACTTTCACCATCACTCATACGTGATCACTGTATTTGCAGAGGCACCCAGATACAACAGTTTAGATAGTCACTCCAAACTGCCAATATCCCAGATCCCTCCTTTAACCTTTTCAGGGCCCATGCCGTAGATCTACGGCTTTATGTTCAGGGTCCAAACCGTAGATCTACGCCATGAGCTCAGCTCACTCTGATAAGCTGTGAGCAGTAAATTTGGGCCTAGATATGAGAGAATACATCTATGTGGTATGTGTGCACCACATAAAACAAATCCTGCAGCACAGTGCATAATGAGAAAAAAACTGAGACCGTAGTTTTCAATTAAAACAGCAACTTTGCAGTGTTTTTCATAAGTTTTTTATATCTGTATTTGTAATTTCTTGGTCTCATTTGATAGAATGGAAGATATACTACAGAAATAGAGATTATTTTGATTGGTTTTAGTACTGGAAATGGCTTGAAACTGAGCTCAAAGTAGCAGAAATGTTAAATTTTTGCTGATGTTCAAGTGTAAATAAATGACCTCATAAGTCTAATACATGACAGCTGGTGGGTCTAATATACATTCACAAATGTGGTGATATTATTTATACAATTATTACAGTATTGCATACCAGTGAATCTTCTCCTTTTTGGTTTGAAAAAAAAATTCATTATGTGAATAAAAAATCAAAATGGGATTCATTTGTTAAGCCTGAAAACGTAACTAATGAACAGAGGAAATGTTAGTTTAGTGCCAGGAATGCCTGCATTGTTTATTCTGGATCCTATTTTGAAATTGGAATATTTTGAACTTTGCATTAAATTGGCCAAATTACCAATTTCCAGTCACTTTATTTTGTTGTTGAAACAGTTGACTTGGTGATTTCTTGTGCTCAATCAATAGAATAGAAGTAATACTAGTGAAAAAGCTAAGAATTTGGTTGACTGGCATACTCTAATTGGCCTAAAATGGGAGTCAAAGTCGGCAAAATCACTGATGTGTAAATATCGCCAACACATCAGAATTCACGAGAGCATAATTTTGTCAATTTTCCAATGGTAGATTCTCTACCATTTCATAAGAAAAAATAATAAAATTATTTTTTGAAAATTCTTGGGCCCTGGTGCACACTTTGAAATTTGGCCTCTGGACCCTGAAAGGGGCATTGTACTTCCCATTTTCAGGACTCGAGTCTGGCTAACTGGTTGGTAGACGGCAACCGCCCAGGGAGGTATTACTGTCCTACCAAGTGAGTGTAAAACGGAAGCCTGTGATTGTTTTACACGATGGTAGGACTGCTGGTGTCTTTTTTCTGTCTCATAAGCATGCAAGATTTCAGGTACATCTTGCTACTTCTACTTACGCTTAGGTTACACTACACATTCATGTACACGTTTATGTATACATACTCATCTGAGTTTTCTTTGATTTTATCTTCGTAGTTCTTGTTCTTATTACTTTTCCTTTCATATCCATGGGAAGTGGAATAAGAATCTTTCTGTGGGCACCTAGCTCCCTTGTAGTGCTCCTCTTTCATAGTATTTGACTGGCTGCTGCTCCTCCATACTATCTTCCCCACTACTACCTTCTACCTCCACTACTACCACTACCACCTCCTGCCTATATATACTCCCCCCTTCTCTCCTTTTCGTTAGTGTGACTTTGTAAATGGTCCAGGTCGGACCAAAACGTCGTTGTAAGCTCCTCTCTTCTGTGTGCAGGTTATTTGTAAATCTTTCTGGAGCAGTGGGCTAGTAACCCCTTTTCCCATATACATTTACTTTCTCCATACTCCCTCCTTCCATTCTGATATCCAGTCTTTCATTACCTAAATTTTTTTTGATATCCTCATCACCCTGCTCTTTTCTATGTTCCCTTTTAATTTCCTTCTTTTACATACCCTTCCAGACTCATCCACCAACCTCTGCAACTTCTTTTCAGAATCTCCCAAAAGCACAGTGTCATAAGCAAAAAGCAACCGTAATAACTCGCACTTTGTGTTAGTCTTTATCTCTTAATTCCTCACCTCATGCCAACACCCAGGCATTCACTTCTCTTACAACCCCATCTTAAATATATTGAACAGCCATAGTGACATCACACATCCCTGTCTAAGGCCTACTTTTACTGAGTAATAATTTCCCTCTTTCCTACATCTCTATCCTGAGCCTCACTATCCTCATAAAAAACTCTTAGCTTCATTTAGTAACCTACCACCTCTTCCATACATTTACATTAACATCTGCCACATTGCTCCCCAGTCCACCCTATCATATGTCTTTGTATCAACTGATAATTTTACATAGGATGGTCATTATACGTACTTTCTTTTATTGGTGGGATACGGCCAACATGCTAAAATAAAATTTAAATTAGCGAAGAGCTAGTAACCCCTTCTCCTGTATAAATTAGTAAATTTAAAATGAAAAACTTTAGTCTTTTCTGCTTTAGGTCACCCTGCCTCGGTGGGATGGGGCCAGTGTGTTGAAAAAAAAAAATCTTAAATTGTCACTTTAAATTTCTTATCTCAATATCTGTTCTCCTAACCCCTTACAAATTGAGGCATATAATATACCTATTATGTAACTAGTTTATGTTTTGCATAACTATGGGCTTTAAATGATAGAAAAATATAAAATGTAAAAAAAATGTACTTCCAGGGAAAGTAAACTATAAAAACTCCAAGACATACACAAAACACTTCAGAAGGGCTTAATTTCAGATGTTTTGATTGAAAAGTATCCAAACATATCGGAAACATTGCTGTGATACTATATTATGAAAATGTACATACTACAGGGCAAAAGAGAGAGCCCGATGCATTACAGAATTCCTGGGCACTCCAGTACAGACCGGGCCGCCGGGGCGTTGACCCCCAGAACTCTCTCCAGGTAAACTCTGCATTGACATAAACACAAAACCACAGCCATCCACAGTCATCCAACTTGGCCATAGGGTCACAGCAACTCTCACCACACATTTTAAGATTAACATGCACCAAGTACTCACTTTGAGGTAAAAGCAAGTTTTTGACTATAAACCTCACTACATCCAACTAGGCTTAGTAGGTCCACATCAGCCCTCTCTACACACACTTCCAAATCAACAGCAATGTTTGCTACAAGGTTAAGTATCAAAAACTATTATTTTTTGATTATTTAAGAAATTTAAAAAAAAAATATTATTTATCTTGAAAGTGTCAAGAATGTCACTCTATTTTCCCTTATGTTCTTCAGCCTATATATCACAATTTCACATATAGTGCCAATTATCAGGAACATAATCCACTCGAGTTCACTGTGCCTTAGATCTAATTCTAATGAATTATTCCTTATAGGGCTTGGTATCCCTGCAACGCTTGGTTGATCACTCACAAGCTTCTTGCGACTATCTTGTTAACAATTCTGACTGAGAAATGACTTCAATACTGCATTTTTTCATGATCCCTTCAGTAAAAATTTTAACATGACATAATGACTTTGTGACATTTGTTTTTTGTGTGAAGTTGTGAACCTTCTCTTGTATAAATGAAATTAGTTTACAAAAATCTTTAATATTTATTATCAAAGCTAATTCAGCATCACTCATCAGGCAACTTTCCACACACCATTCAGTGCACTTGGTCAGTCTCCTGAGGGTTGCTCTACCTACACATTCCCAAAGATTATGGGGCCAGCGAAAGCCAATGAAATGTTTCCTCTTCAACAAAAAGGTAAGTGAATACAAATACAGGGGACCCCGGTTAACGATATTTTTTCATTCCAGAAGTATGTTCAGGTGCCAGTACTGACCGAATTTGTTCCCATAAGGAATATTGTGAAGTAGATTAGTCCATTTCAGACCCCCAAACATACACGTACAAACGCACTTACATAAATACACTTACATAATTGGTCGCATTGGGAGGTTATCGTTAAGCGGGGGTCCACTGTACAGTAGAACCCCAGTTTTCATAATTAATCCGTTCTAGAAGGTTGGGCCCTGAATCCAAAATGGCCGAAAAACCAAAAGTAATATTTCCCATAAAAATAATGTAAATCCAGTTAATCTGTTTCAGACACCCAAAAATATTAAAAAAATACATTTTATAGAGAATAACTATTGTTTTACATACAGAAAACAATGAGAAATAAATATAAATGACTAATTTTAATGATAAATAAAACATTACATACCTTTATTGAAGACTCTTCTTGGTGAGTAGTATTTATTTGTAGTCCCAAAGGGCTACATCCCAAGCTTATACCTACCAGCTACATACACTGCAGTCTACAGCCATATTATTACCATCAACATACCACGTTCACTGAGTTTAATCATTTCTAACAACTACCTTTAGATGCCATCATAAACAAAGGGAGAAGTTGAACATCAAAATGGTATATAATACCGACAGGTTGGTAGATAAGACACATAGGCAACAGTTAGGCAACTTTATTCCGAAACGTTTTCGCCTACACAGTAGGCCTCTTGGTACAGAAAACACCTTGGACAACCCTTTCAAGTGAGAACTGTTGGATCTGAGAGGGACCTGACCTCTCTGGCTACATTCTCACTACTACAAACTACTCTGCACCTCCCTTCCGACAGTATTTAAGTCTCCGCACTGTCGCTTGATCTTCAGATAGTTCCTGACTATGGAACTGAACTTCTCCAGGCTGAGGGACTGACAACCTCAAATTCTACGACTTCAAGGGTGATGGACTGATTACATCGTCTTCACATCTCTACTGTTCCTGCCTACTTTCTGTATTCGACTGAAGAAGCCTACTGTGTAGGCGAAACGTTTCGGAATAAAGTTGCCTAATGTTGCCTATGTGTCTTACCTACCAAAGGGAGAAGTAATGAATAATTCATGCCAAGAATTGTAACAAAAGCTTGTGTACTATTAAGGGTGGTTACTGGGCCATTGCAGATGATTCAACACGCTTTCTCTGAAGCGGACCAGGAAAAACATAATGTTTACCCTCCACCCGACCCCCTCCACTCGATAGCATATAAACATTGCATGTTTATATTGTATGTAATGTGTTATAGTATAATTTTGAAGAAAATATAGATGGATTAATGAAAATTTTTATATTAACGTAAAATGGGACATTTAATGTGCCCAAGAATGAGTCACGAACATATGAGCGGCTCAGGTGGATGCATCTGGTACCATCAATTTCTGAGCCGATGTACGAAACCGGGGGGGAAATTTCGCCAAAAAAGTGCTTGAAATTCGAATTGGATGATTTCTGCACCGGCTGAAAACTGGGGGTCCACCATGTGCTTATCTTATTGTCTTTACCAAATTTGGAGTTTGGCTAATGGGGCTTCTACCTCACATTCTTACATTTATCAGAGTTACATTTTGCCACTGATATTATTCTGTTTATTACAATTCATGAGTCATAATGGCTTTGAGGGGACTTGAGCTAGAGTTCATCATGGCCATTGTGGTCACAGTGGGATCCATGCTGACCTCCCAGTGGTGTATAAATATACCTAGTTGGATGAATCTTATTGTAGCCAGCTGGCCGAGTGGCTTGCACACTGACCTGGAGTTTTACGACTCGCTTGCCATGAGTTCGAGCCCCACCCATACCATGGTTTATTTGCAATCGTTTTATTACGATTTCGTGAGTCTGTTTGTTAACCTCCAGCAGGACATTTTATGTCCACCTTTATCTCTCTCTCACTTTCTATCTTAGTAGTTATATGTTAGTTTTTATTATTCTACATTGTACATTTTTATTGTGTATCTTATAAGCTACATTTTATTTTAGTATTACTACTTTAAAGAGTACTATTTCATTGTCAGAACTGGTATTTTATTTAAATATTATTACCCCATTCATTGTTCTGTTTATTTTATTGTAAAGTATTATGGATTTCCAATTGTCATACTGTATTGTATTTTATATTGTACTACGTTGTCTTTTATACTGTTTCTGGATAATCTAGATTAGCATTACCATCTCAAATTATATTATTTTTATATTTAATAATCTTAAAAATAGTTACCATTATCATTTTTTATTTCTACTATTTTATTGTACAAGTACTTTTTTTACTCTGCAATACTAATATCTTGCTGTCATCATATTTTTGATCCCTTAATACTCCCTTAATGCCTCTTGCTTGTACTTACCAACATTCTTTTTATCATTGCAGTTAAATCTTTTTTATAAAAATATGATTTCTTTAATTGCCATTATTGAAGCCCATTAACCCTTTTAAGTCCAGACCCTCACAATAAAACTTCTTCTCAATAACCAACAACGTCATCCCCCACAAAACATTTTGTTTTCTTGTGAAGTGGGAGAAAATTATTTTTTGAAGGTAATAACACCAAAAGAGCAAAGTTTGATGGAAAACTCATGGAATTATGCAGGTGCAAAATGGCCTCAAAACAATTTACACCGGCAATTTTTGCCCACTTCAGTCCAAATTTTGGGCCCAAATTTTGTTGTTTAATCAACTAAATTTTTAGCTGTTTTGCTAGTACAGCCTCTAAAGCCAAGACAGCAGTGCCTAAGTATGCACAACAAGGCTAACAGATTACTTGGATTTATCTCAAGAAGTAAGTAACAGAAGTCCAAAAGTTATTTACAGCTCTATACATCACTAGTGAGCCTCATTTAGATTATTCCACACCAGTTTTGGTCCCCTGACTACTCTGTGGCTGAAGAAATACTTCCTAACCCTGTGATTCATCTGTTTTCTTCAACTTCCAACTGTGTCCCCTTGTTGCTGTGTCCCATCTCTGGAAATCCTGTCTTTGTCCACCTTGTCAATTCCTCTCAGTATCTTGTAAGTTGTTTTCATGTCCCCCTATCTCTTCTGTCCTCCAGTGTTTGTCAGGTTGTTTTCCCCTTAACCTCTCCTCATAGGACATACCTCTTAACTCTGGGACTAGTCTTGTTGCAAACCTTTGCACTTTCTCTAGTTTCTTTACATGCTTGGCTAGGTGGGGGTTCCAAACTGGTGCCCCCATACTCCAATAGGGGCCCTAACGTACACGGTGTACAGGTCCTGAACGATTCCTTATTAAGATGTCGGAATGCTGTTCTGAGGTTTGCCAGGCGCTCATATGCGCAGCAGTTATTTGTTGATGTGCGCTTCAGGAGTTTGGGGCCTGGTGTTATACTCGCCCCAAGATTTTTTTCCTTGAGTGATGTTTGTAGTCTCTGGCCCCCTAGACTGTACTCCATCTGCGGTCTTCTTTGCCCTTCCCAATCCTAAATGACTTTGCACTTGGTGGGATGAATCCAGGAGCCAGTTGCTGGACCAGGTCTGCAGCCTGTCCAGATCCCTTTGTATTTCTGCCTGGTCTTCGATCGAATGAACTCTTCTCATCAATTCACGTCATCTGCAAACAGGGACACCTCGGAGTTTATTCCTTCCGTCATGTCGTTCACAATACCAGAAACAGCACTGGCCCTTTGGACTGACCCTGTGGGGACCCCGCTGGTCACAGGTGCCCACTCTGACACCTCGCCACGTACCATTACTCGCTGCTTTTCTTCCTGACAAGAAATTCCCTGATCCATTGCAGTGCCTTCCCTGTTATCCCTGTTTGGGTCTCCGGGTTTTTGCACTAATCTCTTGTGTGGTACTGTGTCAAACGCCTTCTTGCAGCCCAAGAAAATGCAATCCCCCAAAACCCCTCTCTCTCTCTCTCTTGTCTTACTGCTGTCCCCATGTCATAGAACTCCAGTAGGTTTTTTGGACATGGGATTTCCCGTCTCTGAAACCATGTTGGCGCTGGTGATCAGATCATTCTTTCTAGAGTTCCACCATTCTTCTCCCGACAATCTTTTCCATGTTTTGATGCTATACATGCAGTGACACTGGTCTGAGTTTAGTGCTTCATGTCTGTTCCCTTTTTTAAAGATTGGGACCACATTTGCTGTCTTTCATGCCTCAGGCAATCTCCCTGTTTCGATAGATGTATTGAATTTTTGTTGTTAGGGGTACACATAGCACCTCTGCTCCCTCTTAAACAGGACCCATGGAGAGATGTTATCTGGCCCCATTGCCTTTGAGGTATCTAGCTCACTCAGAAGCCTCTTCACTTCTTCCTCGGTTGTGTGTACTGTGCCAGCACATGGTGGTGTACCCCACCCCTCTGTCTTTCTGGAGCCCCTTCTGTTCCTCTGTGAACACTTCTTTGAATCTCTTGTTGAGTTCCTCACATACTTCACGGTCATTTCTTGTTGTCTCTCCTCCTTCCTTCCTTAGCCTGATTACCTGGTCCTTGACGGTTGTTTTCCCTTTCCCGATGTGGCTGTATAACAGCTTCGGGTCAGATTTGGCTTTTGCTGCTATGTCGTTTTCGTATTGACGTTGGGCCCCCCCTTCTTATCTGTTGCATATTCGTTTCTGGCTCTACGACTGCTCTCCTTATTCTCCTGGGTCCTTTGCCTTCTATATTTCTTCCTTCCCTAGCACACTTGGTTTTTGCCTCCCTTTCATCTTTGCGTGAACCATGGGCTCATCCTGGCTTTTTCATTATTCCTGTTTTCCCTTGGGTACAAACCTCTCCTCAGCCTCCTTGCACATTGTTGCTTTCATATTCCATCATTCATTAAATGGCTTCCCTGCCAGTTCTCTATCCCACTGAACCTCATTCAGGAAGTTCCTCATTCCCGTGTAGTCCCCTTTCCTGTAGTTTGGTTTCATTTGTCCTGGCCTTTCTGCTTTCCCCCCCACTTGTAG